CTTCTTAATATTCCTCTTAAAGACTTAGTGTTTGTGCTGGGTTTCCTGTAAATTCATAGTGTTTCATTTGCAGCCAAGCTGCAACAAAACCCACAGAACGATTAGGAAGCCTTGCACGTACATACAGAAAATGCAGTCACAAGATTGCTAAATAGAAATTGCTCTATCTTTAAATGATCATGAGCTGTCAGCTGTTCCTTTGTTCGGATTATTATAGACACACATAAAACACTTGATTGAATGCTCAAGTTTTCACCAGCTAGAATCCAGACGGATGTCTGATAAAATAACAAACACACCCCACTCCACCCCTCCTCAAAATCCCCTTCCTGCTTGTGCTGAATTTCTCCCTGTATTGAAGCCAGTATTTCATGGACTAAATTGGACAAAGCAAGCAAACAGTCTCCTTCCTATTGGTTTCCAAATCAAATCATTGTTAATCACATCAATATTCCCTGCTGATTCAACAGTCTCAGTGGCTAGCTTTCTGGCTCAAACATGCTCCTCTGCATGGATGCTGTGGAGCCCTCTGTGTGTGCTGCCCACATTTGCTATTAATTATTGCTGGAAGCACTCAGGTCTGATTCTCTCACCTCTTCTTTCTCCTCTAGTTTTCCCTCATGCAGCAGGGAAGAAACAGAAATACCATTCTTCACTTGATGTTGGATTTCTAACCTAACCTCTTCCAGTGATGTGAGCCTAGTGCTGAAGTACAGATCCAGGGTGCCACTGGCTTACCTGTAAGCAATCACAATGCCTCAGCTGCTGGGAAACGTGGCAGACATCTCAGTCTGGTGAGCTGCTAATTTCTGGGGCAAAAATCTGCTCTTTTGTGGTACAACTCATATGGGTGGTGTGACAGCTTAGAGGGGTTCAGAGCCTGCCTCCTGAGGCTCTGCTGGTTGCAGAGCAGAAGCCCGCTCCTGCAGACATTTGTCCAAAGGATTAATTTGAAATCCATGTGCATCTCTTTATGCTCAGTGAGACTCCCCTTATGCTCCAACCTGAGCTAGTGCCTGTGCTCTGGGAGGATGGCAATCAGGGCAGAAACAGCAGAGCTGCAGTCTGACTGTGGCAGGAGCAGCGCTGGCACTGGCAGTCTGATGTGGGAAGGGATGTGGCAGGACTTGGGATCAGCTCCTGCCCCCTCAGCAGCTCTGCCTGAGGTCAGGTCTCACGGCAGGCAGTAAACAGCTCCTTCCCTCCGTTGTAAAAGAGAGCAGAACGGAAGAAAAGATGGCAGCCTCAAACATGACTGTTTCCAGCAATAACAAGAAACCCCAGCAGTGCCCAGAGACAAACCAGCACACTCAAACACACAGAACACATCGCAGCCCAGCGGAGAGGAGCCTGCCTGACACCAGATTAGTGGTCAGTCTGAAAAGGAGAAGATGAGGCTTGGAGACCAAAATACTTTCTACCAGTTAGACACAGCTCACAGGAACACTGTCTGTGCACACGCGGACAGAAATGGTTGGGAAATCATACCCTGCCATTTGACATGTAGTAAATGTACCCTGTCAGATAAGCAAGAATCCAGGACTATATCTGTAACATCTATTAGCAATGGTAAATTAATTAAAAGTATGAACTAATTAACCTGCCTGCTCTCTGCCCCTTCCTTTGCCAGGGCAGTGAGTCTCATCCTGCCGTAAGCCCCACAGCAGCCTGTGCTGTGTCCTGGGCAGCCCTGGTTTTGCTAATGGCCCGCATGCTGCTCCCTGTGCATCTGGGGACCAAGGTGCCCTCTGCTTAATGAGGCCACTGACAGCCTGATGATGCTTTCTGTGAAAGTGTTCTCCCTTACCCCTTTCCTAAAGCTGTCTGCAGGCTGGCTATAATATGCCCTTAGGCTGGTGTGCGAGCTACAGAGTAGGGTCACCAGCAGAGGCTCAGATTGAAAAAGGGTTTTGAAGGGTCTCTGCCTTAGAAGTGGAAGCCTGCTGAGGTGAAGAGGGCTCTAGAAAGACACATAAACTTCTCATAAGATGGTTAAGATGAATTTAGGAAGTATTGGAGAAGCACACAGACCTTTGAACTATCCTTTAGCAGAATAGGCTTTGTATAGCCTCAAGGAAGCTTTAGCTAAGGGCAAATTTGGGCTAGCTTCATATCTGCAGTGGTTAACCTTCTACAGACCACTGCGTGCTCTGCAAATGGCAGAGACTCTGCACAAGCTGGTGAGTGCAACAGGAGGCTCTGCAGTAGCTGCACTGTCAGCCCATGGCAGTGCTACAGGTGCTGCATGCTGTGGGAGCTGATCTTTATTCTCTTACTGTCACGTTTTCCTGTCTGCTCACTTGTAAATCAAATTGCCATGTTCTCTGATGATAACGTTTTACTCCTCCTGAAGTTACTGTTTGCAAAGTAGCATCTGTACAGTGCTGTTTTCCCCTCTGAATAATCATTTTCATAATCTGAACCTGAAAAGAAAATCCAAACAACTACCATGGAAGAAGGGAAAATTCTCACAGAATAAATTTCCATAGACTCTGTTAAATTTCCCTGTAAATGCATATTACTTCTGGAGCTCCCCATGAAGACAGCAATGAGGAGAATTATTGTGCTCAGTTTTTACCTACTGACCCTACCAAATACTTTCCTCAGCATGCTATCAGAGGTGCTGTAGAGCTGATGCATTTGTTATTTTCTGTTTAATAGAGCTGATATTCAAATCAAGTGATACCCCTTGTCACAAATACAATTTCATCCTCCTACTGCACTTTCCAAGAACAATGCAATGACCTCGCTGTTAGATACTGTGCTTGGTTTATTACTTTAAAATATGCTAGCACTTTGTTCGTAATAGGTTTGATGGCTTAAGCAATATAGGTGCTGAATTTTTAATGGTAAAAATATGGTATTTATTTTCTTTGTATTTGAAGAAAGAGCAGGAAACACAAGTACCTTGTGAGAAAACTTGGCTTTGTGAGACCAAGTCCAGCTTTGCAGTCATGCTGGATCATGGCAGCACCCTTTTTTGAGGTGACTCTGAAAACGTTGCAATTACTACAGATGATTTGTCATTTAAGAGTGTTATAAAAAATACTTCAGAGGCTCTTGCAGCGCACAGGTGAGTTTTACCTTTATCATTGCAGCCCAGCAGAGAGGATCTGACCAGCCAGAAGATCTAAGCTGCATGCAGAGGGAGAAAGTCTTGCCTGTGCTCACAGCATCTTTGAATCAGTGGCAGAGATTTTTCTTGTCGAGGTGCTAAATTTGATGGAGGAGCATAGGCATGGGTTGGGCTTCAAGATCTTGTGGCCATTGGCCCCACCTGCCCTATTTCCTTCTGGTCTATTAAGTTCTATATTCAAGTCTAATGTGTCCAATTAAATGTGAGACTGAAACCCTACCAAGCATCCCAAAATTACCCTGCAGGGCGCAGAGCATGAAGCTGCAGCAGGGTAGGAGGGAGGGGACCAGCCGTGGGTCCTTGCAGCATGGAAGAGCTCGCAAGATCTCATGTTGCCAAAGTTTTGTGCTGCTTGACTCCTATCTGAGGAGTTTGTAGGTACACCAGTGATAAACAGCATTGCAGGATACTTTACGTATGAAGCATCACTGCTTTCAGGGGCACCAGGCTTTCCGGGGAGAAGCATAGTGGCATTTCTGGATGAGGTAGTCTGCCCCTCTGCTCATGGTGGGCTTCACCTTGCCCTGCATAGCTGCTGCTTCTTCTCCTGACCTGGCCCCACACCATCCCCTTTCCTCAGGGCAGATATACACATTCCTGTTGATGTGCCCACAGATGGCTTCACTGGTCTTCTCCTTGCTTGGACAAAAGTTAAGAGGCTGCACAAAACTTCCCAGGAACCTGGGGGTTCCCTGGGCAGAACTCCGCAGTGGTGTGGGGGAAGAGAGGAGATGTTTCAAGAAAGAACATCTGAGAGTATTTCTGCAAAAAACAGAAAATGTTTTTAAAGCCTTGTGCACGAAATTTGGCTTCCTCTGAAACTGGAAATGGTCTCACAGCAACATATGCTAATTCATTAGATGAATTTCATTCATTGCAATGAGCTATAGTAATTTCTTTCTACTTTTGAATGCAAATTGCAATTCAGCCTTAACTATGGCGGTATTCCCATTACACGGGGCTGAAGAATGTCTATAATATTTACTTTACTCTTGCTTTTAGCATAGCAAAATCTTTTCTCAATAAGCTTCATCTCCCCCCAGAGCAGCCTTTTGTGCTGTTCCTCACGTGTCAGTTTTGCACCGAGGGGTCAGCTCAGGGTAACAGCATCATCAGGTCCGTAGGTCTACTGGGCACCTGGGGGGACCATATTGTGACTTACTTCTTGTTTTGCTCCTGGTGGGAACTGGGTCTGTCCAACCTGCTGTGGTTTCTAATGCTCACAGAGCAGGAGTCTGCTGAGGCATAGCCAATATCTGGCTTATTTTTGCTTTAATTTAAATGAGAAATTAGTTGCTTAATAAATAGAGGAATTTGCTTCCATTTTGATTTGCAATTTGAATTAATGATTCTTCCAGCAGAAATGAACTACTCCAATAATAACGGCTTTATAACCTCAAGGCTTCCCTCTGGACTGCTTATGAAAATGCAGCATAACCTCCATCAGTATTGAACTCTTACTGAGCGTCATAACCAGTGAGAGAAGAGGAATAGCAAGAGGGAGTGGGAGAGGGGGAGAGAATGAGGTTTACTCCCCCCCAGTGCATTACAGTGTTTCTTAAAAATGGTTTTGATAACTTTTTTCTACTCACAGTAGACTGGCTTGTTATTTACATGTGTTATTCTCTCTGTATGAGGCTAATGACTGCCTGAAATCATTCATTGGAAGCAATTGTTTGGACATGTCTCCAGGTACTTTAAAAGGTGATAAAGTACAAGATTTTTGTTATTGTTCAGCTCACATCTGGAGTCAAGTCCAGCCTTTGTCTGGCACGCCAAGTCAATAGCCTCACTCTATATTCTGCTTGCATCTTTACCTTTCTTGAGCTTATTCTGTCTGACTTGATACTGCTGGGCGTTGTAGAGACAGGAGGAACTGTGTGCAGAAGAGAGCGCCCTGGTTTGCGGTGGGAAGCTGGTGTGAGGAATTAAAGCTCCTGTTGTGACAGAGATGACAACAAAAGCAGAAAGCTTCCTCGTGCGGAAGGAAAGCCCGTCAACTGAGACATTCAGAGATGATACACCGGTATTGAACAGTGACTGTCACACTCATTTCCAAAGTGCCATTATGGCAGCACAGGTCAGGCTTTTGAAGCTTCCTTGCCAAAGGCTGCCTGGCAAGGTTTCTTCCCACCACTGCAGCTGACTGGCAGGATTTGTTTCCACCTACGCTTTAGCATAACGGGCACAGCGAAGAGTAAACAAATCCTCTTCAGTGCCCTCCCTTCCCATTCCAAAATCCTGGGGATTTTGTGTGCCCACTGCACGTAACAAGGAAAATCAACTCGAGGTTCCCTGTGGCAGGGGCCATCAGAGCCATACTCTCTGTCAGGCTCTGGGAGCTGCCTGCATTACAGCATACTTTCCCCACCATTTAACATCATCACTGCAACCTCCCACTGCCGTCACCCATCTCCAAAGGGCTGTTATTGCCCAGTCTTCAGATGCTGGTATAAGCAAATAGCTCAAGCTGAGAAGTCTGGTATTGGTACATTACAGGAAAATCTCTCAACCTTAAAATTGCTTATGGTAAAAAGCCCCAGTGTACAGATATCACTGTCTAACACACCAAACCACCTCAGGAGTTTAGGAATAAACGTGGCATACACTGATGTGAATGTTTATGGGGTGAGGGAAGACTGGCACAAAATACAAAGAAGCTGTGTTTGAAGGAAATGCATCTTAACATAAAGGTATTCTAATCTTTACCCTTCAGTATTTAAGTCAGTGCAGCCATTATTAAAGCAATTAAAATGCAATTACTTTTTCATCTTTATTTCAGTTCTTGGATAATTAAAGCTGCTTTACATCAAGGGTGATCCATAAAGGAAGGCATTTTGCATGTGAAAAGCTGCAAAGGGTGGAAGACTTTGGGGTATCAGCAGTGAGCAGCAAGCAACTGAGATTGTTAATGCTACAGTAAGCTGCCTCCTTTTGCATCTCTATGGGATCATGGAAAGAGGCCACTTGCTGGATTTCTGTGCTCTGTCTTGATTAAATGGCTGTTTCAATTTGATATTCACTCCTTTCATACTTGTAATCACTTTAAGATTTTCATTTTATAGTATTCACTTATTTAACTGCTTGTTTCCTGCCAAGTCTAAAAAAAGAAAGGCTTTTCCCTCCCTTCTCCTTGCTGCAATAAAGGCAAGAGTTTACACAAAATTACTTCTATATTTAAAGTCTCCTGATGTAAATCTCTGATCTCTTTAAATAGTCAGAGCTAGTAGATATTGCAAATAAGTGCTGGAGTGAAAGAGCCTGAAGCTGTTGGGGGAGGCTGACAATTGCTGCAAGCACACGGGCAGGCTGATGGTTGTCCCTGGGGCATGGGGAGGCTTGCGGCACCCCTGGGACCTGAGTGGGTGCCACCTCTCCCTTAATCTTCTGGAGGATTTTGGGGATTGCTGTGAGCCCTTTTCAGGTGTGTGCAGCCTGTGAGGCACCTGTGCCACCCCCAAGCTCCTGCAGTGCTGTGGGGTTGGGAATGAGAGAGCAGAGGCTGCTGGAGGCTCTGTCATGGGCACTTCTCCAGGGATGCAGGAAGAAGAAAGCTCTTCCCGTGGGGCTGCAGTGATTGATTGCCAGGCTGCCAACAGCCGAAAAACAAACCTGTTTTGGCTCCTCATCACCCGAATTGAATATCATCTGCCTTGTATCTTCGCCAAGGTAATGGAAGAAGAAATACAGTCTGAATGTGCTAGAAAGGACAAAACCCTCTTAGGTTTTAATTTTATTGTTAGAGACTAAGGAAACCAACATATTCTCAGGCGTTTGCTGGACTAGTTAGCTTTATCTCACTCATTTGTTAACACGTTTTTATTGATGTTGAGGGTGTAGCTTAAAGAGAGTGTGCAGTAGGAAAGTTAGAATTCATCTGTGGGGAGATGCCTTAGAAAGAGGATCAAAAATAGTGATCAAATGCCTGTGGCACTGCCTGTTTGCCAACGGGATCTGCCATCACTGTCCCCTTAGCAAAGCCAGTGAAATACTTTTGGGATTTTCAGAGGTGGCAGTGTTGAACCATCTGAGAAATTGGTATGGAAGGATTAGATGGCAGCTTCCTGTGGCCAGCCCTGACCCTAAGCATCTCAGCCAAGGTAAACTCCAGGGTCACCACTAGAAATGATGCCTGCAGACACAAATGTCATTGTTCAGCTCAGATTGGACATACAGTTTCAGACTACAGCCTAATAGCAGGGCAAGACCCATCCAGCTAATCTCACCTATCCGGGAATTGCACTGTGATGTGAGCTGGGTTTAATTGCTCTATTTTAGGTAAAAATAGCTTTTGATGTGCTGAGGAACCCTGTGATTTGTGAATCCAGTCCTACAGAAACGTATTATGAACCACTTCTGCTTTTTTGCTCTCCAGAGCGCACTGGTTTTAGCACATACCCTCAGAGGGCACAGGGAAGGGCAGCAAGACTGGCTGATTAGCAGGCTTGCAGAAAATCAAATTGGTCCTAAAACTTGGCTGGCTGCAAAACATTCTCAAAGGAAAAGGCAGCTGTGGTGTGGCTCTACCATAGCGAATCCACAGGCAGAGGGGACTAAAGTCTGCTTTTGCCTACACTCAGTTGCAGTGCTGCAGTGTGAGTTTTGTTGGACCAATCCCTCGTGTACATGGGTTCAACAGTCTAACAGGGTGGTGGAGAAACTACTACCCAAAGAAAAACCTCTGTTTTATTAATCTATATACTAGGTCAAAAGTGAAAGACAATCAGCTAAGAAAAAGTAAAGTTGTAAGCCTGTGGGACTTTTGAATGTCATGGATCTGTTTGGGACCTGGATCTGTTTAGGATTTGTATCTGATTGCTAATAGACTGCCAGGATCTGGTCAGTCCATGGCACAAAGCTGGCCCAAGGTCCAGGACTGTGTAACTGCAGGGGTCTGCTTTCTAGATTTTCCTCACTATCAAAAGTCTTTTTCTTTCTTTCTAAATAAACATACTCAGAAGATGATACAAAGAGCAGTGAGTGGCAGGACTGTAGGTTGTGAGCCTCCTGCTTCTTGCTTAAGTTATAGTGAAAAGAATGATGAAATGAAGGACAGATACTGTGAGGGGAGATCTAAAATCTATAGTAAGAGTAGTTCAGCTAAAAATGCTGGAATCCAAAGGCTCCTTGCAGTGTGTGGAGTTTTTATGTTCAAAAAGCAGTAGTGTTTTTGATGATGTCTGAGGTCTGAAAAACCTTCCCTATCTTTTGTATGGATTTTCTTTAGACTTCTAAAATCTCAGTGATGATGAATCAATCCTATCTGAGCAGCTCTGTAAAAATCTCACGTCCTTTCCTGTATGTTTCACATATCATTCCCCTTTTCAATCAATAGAACAAAAGCCAACTTCAATCTTCATTCATAATTGGTACAAAAAACAAGCCTGAAGTTTGAAAAGAAAGTTTTAATCATACTTCCTTAAGCCAACATCTTCTCCCCATTATATCTGTTTTCTGACCAGGTTTGGTAATAAGAGGGTCCTGGTGGCCATGAGTTCTCATGGGGCTTCTGACACCGCTGGAAAGAGCACCAGCCTTGCCTTTCATCATGTCATAACAAAAACCTCATAAGGGTGTGAGTGACTGGAGACCTTCTGAGTTGGAAGTGTTGTATGACCAGTCAAAATCTGGAGCTGTCATCCAAGCTGGTTCTCCAGAAGCAACATCACCTCTTGGTCAGAGAAGACTTAGTCTTCTGTTTCATACCACTTTGCTCTCCTCAGCCTCTTTCTAGTTGTACAGAGTGGCTTGGGGCTTTGTTACATCAGACTCCAGGAATACCTAACCTGAGCTTTATACCATATATAGATCACCTGCTTAGGCAATTTCATGGCCATCGCTAGTGGTAAGAGCAATATTTGAATCCCTGTGGTATTTCAGGGGTGTTTGGACTTGAGGGATGGAGTCTTAGGATTTTCATGGCTCTTTCTGGCACTGCAAGCATCATGAAGTATGGCCACCCTATAGCAGCTCCAGCTCAGTGTGATCTCAGGGTCATTCATAACCATTAATAAATTGCCCAAACTTTCTGCACAGTGGAGGTTTGACTTTGCTGTGATTTTTCAGTCAGGGAGGAAACTTAAAGAGCAGCTGGAGGACAATATGCAGATGTTCATTTGACTGAGTTACACAGTGATGGGAGCCCAGTCTTGTAACCCAGGAGCCAGCATGCCCACAGCCCTCTGTGCTCAGAAGTCAGAGGAACAGAAAAGGAGACTGTGTGGGTAACAACAGTATGTCACTGCTGCAGGGACATTGGGAGCTTTAGGGGAGAACTAGAGCAAAGCTTGGCTTTTCCTGCGTGTTAAAATTATGGCTACCTGACTCCTTTACTTGCTTCTCTTAGACCTGCTGGCCGAGGTGCAGGATAGCCACACAAATTACAGTCATCATAGACAACTCCTTGCCTGGCTTTACAGTGAAACAAGGCTTTACCCTGCTTGGTTTTACAGTGAAACCATAATTCTGTCCTCTATATCACAGTCACTGCAGGGCACGATGCTCCTTGAGGTGACAGAGCCGGGCATGACATTTCTTTCCAGACTGCCATGCCCTGGCCTGGCTGTACTGCAATGAGAATAAGCAATCACAGGAAGGTGGAAAAATACCTGCCAAGTCATTTGGTTTCCATAGAAGTGGTCCCCTCCCAGCTGACTCCTCTGCAGAAGTTTTCTCTAAACACGTATTCATGCAGCTTGCAGCCAATTCTACTTGCTTTCCATACTGCAGTTTCTCCTGTCCTTGAATTTGATCGAACCAAGCCGTAATCGGCATGGTATTCAGGGCTTGGAAGATAGTGTTTCATGAGCCGTGTTCTGACAAATTAGAAGAGTTTACCCTTCTAATTACCTCACCCTTCACCCCCAGCCCCAAACATACAGCAAGGCCTGGGCTTGACCTCGGGAGCTGCTGAGATTTTATTATCACAGATTGATTTCTGGGCAACACCTCAGGGTATTTGCTGGCATAAACATTGCTACAATGGCACAGGCTGTTTGTTTACATCAGTAGGAGGAAAAGAGCCCTTATTACTGAAATTCTGCCTTCTTCCCTCAAGCTTCTCCCCGGGAGCCAGCACGTAGGCAATATTGATACCTGCTTTTTTAATTTAGGACCAATTGTTATATATAGATGAATGTGAGGATGCATAAACAATACACCGCTTTGCTGCACGGCTTGTTTATTCCAGACCTCATTGGCATGCACAGCACACAGGCAAACCGAAAGCTTCTCTGGATGAGTATTGTCAGATAACTTGCCAGGTTGCTCCCTAGAGAAAATCATCAGGCACACAGAGCTGGAGTTTGTAAGGTCCTTTTATTTCGTCTTTTCAATGCACTCTGTGCTAGTACAGCAAAGTTCAGGCTGAATCAGCACTCCCATTAAAATTCCTTATTTTCAGGAATTCATAAGCTGTGGGTGAGTGGAGGGAGAGCAGGATGTGACTGCGCGAGAGCGGCGCTCCGGGATGAAGTTGTTCTCACAAAATGTTGAATAGCACACAAAACCAGAATGACAAATGCTCGTTGCATAAAGCAGTCGTGCTGGGTGGCTGTCAGAAGGTGGGCACTGGGGACATCACGCTGCTACATTCAGAGCATTTGGCCGTCTGTGGAGACACCCGCCTGCCTGCGCCCCATCATCCCTCGGCTCTGAAACATGGGCAGGGGTGTTTGCAATTCAGAGGGCTTCTGGGTTCCAACGGGACACAAATGCCTGGACAGCTTGTTTGCTGTGGAGCTTATCATGGCACATGATGTATTCTGCTTAAATAGATTATGAAAGGCCCAATTCTCCCATTAATTGCAAAATTCTCAAGAACTTCATTATGAGCAGGCCTTAAATGTACAGTTTACAGCCTGAATCACTTGATATGCCATATGCCATTTCCTAAATCTAATACTGTGAACAAACCCACTCCTAAGTGCTTTATGATGAACTAAATTTACAGCTGATACCAAACACTATTCAATTCTTTCTTACTGCCTTACTGCTGGGAAGTGTCTTCTGCATTTTTTCTATGGAAGTACTTGGTTCAGTCTGGTGAAATAAGGAGTGAAACGGGCTGGATTTAAAAATGTTGGAGAAGAAACTCTGACCTGCTCTTAGTGTGAGGGCAGCCTTGGTGTTTTCTGAAGAAAATGGA